ATGTGAAATGTAATAAATCTTAAACCTACTATATTTCTATTTTATAGTTATCAGTTAATATGCTTCCCTTCGGAATTGCATCTTTGATAGCTCTGCACCAAAATACTACGTAGGCATTTTGAAAGTCTCCTTTGATCATCTTTAGCAATATAAAATTGGTTAAAAATTGATATTTTTTCCATAAAATGGTAGCAGTTTATATGGTCGTAGAGCAGAATGAGAAAGATAAGCCAATGATACAGGAGTTGTTTTGTCTTAAATACAGTTAAATTCAATTAGTTTTTAAAAATAGATGTTAAAAAATCTTTTCTTATAAAAGGATATTAACATTTCTAATTAATATAACATAGAATATTAGCAGCTTTATGTGAGCCCATAATTTTTGTTTTGAAAATTTATTGAGCTGTGAAATCTAACCATTGATCTCATCCTAGCAATTATTTACCAGTGGTTACACATCTAGTAAGTGATATATCAGGACTAATACCTAGGTTTTATAAGTTGTCATGTTTCTTGGAGAGATTATTTTCTCTTTCACATATTTTGAAAAGCACTGACTGAAAGAAAAATCTAAGTTCTTTTGTATGACACTCAAGTCTCTTCTCAAATCGATGCCACTCAAACTTTTTGAGGCTTGTCTTCTACTGTTTGTTCCTTCTTTCTCTCACTTTTCCCTTTCTTACTCTGCCTCTCTCTTCATATGGCATCCCGTGAGCTAACCCTATCTTTCTCTGTGCATTCTCATATCTGTCTCTTTTACCCTATAATTTATTCTACTTGAAAATTCTGTCCTTTTCTATTTCTGCCTTTTAAAATCCTGCCTATCTTTTAAGTCCTCAATTGCCATTTTCTAAGAACCATTCCTAGATTCTCCAGTGATACAGATTTCTTTTTTCTTAGTGTTATCAGAGAACTTTTTGTTTATCTGATGTAGAGTTGAACATATTCTGCTTTGTATTATAGTTGTGTTTTTCCACTTACATTCATACTACATTATACGCATCTTGAAGACCAAGACCTTGTTTTTTTTTTTTAACTTTTGTTTCTCCCACAGTCTTCTGCACAGAATAAACATTGGAGATCAATGATTGTCCTATGAGTTTATGATTGAAAACTATGTATAATTTTTTTAAGTGGAAAAACTACAGAAAAAAATTGTTAGGAAAACATTAAAAACTAATCAGTTCTTGAGAGGACACTGGTATGCAAAATTATGAGAATTCTAAGTATGTTATGAGCAACCATTCAATTCTCTTATCACCTAACATAATTATATTTAGTTTCCAGCAAACTTTCAATAGAACAAAACCTGCTTTGTGTTTTTT